TTCCAGATGAGATGTGAGTATTATCAGTAGTGTAGGATGTGCATGAGGGTAGAGTGTAAAAGACGGGTGTTGTCAAGGGCATCTAACTAAAAGGAAACAGGATTTAACACGGCGGCTGCCCTACCACACCACAGACGTCTGCTGGGGGGGAGAGAGAGAATGAACGCTGGGTTTTCTAATCTCAGGGCGCCGGGCCCAGGTGCCTTCAATCACCAAACCCAGCCCACATACTTCAATCCCACTGGAAGGCTGCTACCTCAACAGCAGGGGTCGCCACACCCTCCCCCTTAAGATGATTTCTTTTAGTCTACCACACATCACAGGGTCATCAGGTGCTCGAACATCCACCTCCTCCCTGTCCACCATACCCGGAGGACATAGAACCAATAGTAAGTACCGGACTGACACCCAAGCTCTGTACGCTGGACTCAGGCGCAACAGTAACATCACGTGAATAATAAGGCTTCAACAAGTTGACATGACCGAGGCGAGAGGACTTCCTACGCTTTGGAGTGGAAATTAAATAATTCTGCTCTGACACTCTTCGCTCCACAGTGGCCTGAGAACTTTGCTTGAAATGGTGAACTTACAACTGGAGTGGAAGCCAAAACCTGGTCTCCTGTCATAGACAGTTTCCATTTTAAACTGAGCCACTTCCAAATTGTCACGTGTCTTTTGAGCAGCTGTATATAAACGATGACGGAAACCATTTACATAGTCTATTAAAGTCTTGGGTGGATCAGCATCACCCCGCAAGGGACCACGCACTGTATGGCCAAAAACAAGGTCATTGGGACTAAACCCAGTGTCCTCCTGAACAACTTCTCGGGCTGACAACATCCTTCCTCCCAATCTCTCCCTACCTCTGTGCAGTACGCACGCAACAAGGATAATGTCTTCTGGTGAAACCGTTCCAATGCTCCCTGACTCTGCGCATGATAAGCAGACGCACGGTTATGCTTCACCTTCAACATCTTCAACACCTGTCCAAACAGGTGCGATGTAAAGTTCGAACCTTGGTCGCTCTGAATCACACGTGGAACGCCAAAAATAGAAAGAATTGTGTCAATGCCTTGATTATTGATCTTGCAGAAAGTGAATGCAGAGGATATACTGCAGGATATCTTGTTGTCTGGCACATCACAGACAGATAAGACCAACCAGACTTTGAGGTTGGTAAAGGCCCCCACAATCTATAAGCAAACGCTCAAATGGTTGACTGATCGCTGGAATGGGACAGAGAGGTGCTGGCTTGATTGACTGACTCGGCTTACCTGTAAGTTGACATGTATGACATGATTTTATGTAATTGGAGACATCACGCTTTAACTTCGGCCAAAAGAAATATCGCAAAACGCGGTCATAAGATTTCCTCACACCCAAATGACCGGATTTGTCATGTGCAATCATTAATACTGTGACACGGAATTTGTCAGGCACAACAATTTGAAACACTGGCTCACCAACAAAATCACCTTTACAAGGCACCCATTTCCACACAAGCAACCCATCCTGGAGAAAATAGCCAAGAGCCACATTTCCAACCTGACTTTCCGGCAAAATACTGGTCAACAAACCAGACGGACACGGATCAACCTGCTGACTTTTAACCCATTCCAGCCGAGGGACGGATGGGGGAAGATCAGGTAAAGGAATCACCACTTTAGTCTCTCGTTGCTCTCCACTAACGTCTGAAACAGTCCTAGCACACTGCGCACGGGTCACGGCGCAGGCTGGAAACACATCTGGATATCTGACCACAGTCATCCGGCCCAGCAATCACCTTTAACTCTGGAGCAACCACAGGAGATGGCGGCACAGAAGGCCAGACTGCCCCACCAGCGAGGTAATTTCCTAGAATCATTTCCACCCCATCAATTGGCAATGCTGGACACACACCCACTGCAACAATGCCTTGCAACAAGTCACAATCAAGCACCATCTTGTGCCGTGGTACAGGTACCAAACCCGTCTCCATACCTCGTATCAGAATAAAATCCCCCGTTTCTGTTGCAGGTGAAAAAGGCAATGCTGATTCCAAAATGAAGGAATGCTTGGCACCTGTATCTCTCAAAATCTTTATAGGCACACGCTCCTCACTTCCCACCAGAGAAACTAGAGCATCAGCAACGAACGGCTCAAAATCATCACTCTCTGGACCAACACATTCAAGACTTGGCCCCTGAACACTGGAACAGGCCCGAGCAGGAGCAGATGGATAAGACCTTCGTTTATTCCTAGTTCGTAGTACAGGGCACTGATCTTTCCAGTGGCCCGAGCCCTGACAATTACAACATATGGCCCCTCTGCCACCATCATCTCTCACACGTGTGGCTTTAAATGCATGCGTGGGACGGGCTACTAAGGACTGGACCCCGAAAGGAGCGCTCCCAAGGTTGTTACCTTCACGTCTATCACGGGTTGAGCACATCTCATCCAAACCACTTTTGTGCGTCAACACAAAATCATCCGCCAGCTCAGCCGCTCTGAGTGCAGTGGTTGCCTTCTGTTCACTTACATACACTGTAATACTCTGAGGAATCACATTTAAAATTGTTCCAACACTATCAATTCACAAATCGCTGAATATGCTTCCTGGGCCCTGCCCGTAAGTACACACTGAAGCAGCAAGGTCCTATCAGCATCAGGCCATTTTCTTGCATCTGCAATACGCTCAAACAAAGTGAAAAACGTATCAGGATCCTTCTCACTGAATCTGGGCATTAAACGCAAATTAGCCCCGACATCGAATCCAACCCGCACAGACTCAGAGAAACTTTCCTCTGCCATACTCTGGGAAAGCTTACCGTCACAAATCAAACTCAATTTATACTGCTGCAAGTCTAGTTTCATTTTTTCTGTTTGCTGCCGAACCTTTGATTTGAATTTGTCCCTCGGTTTCCACGTTTAACCGGATTCTCTCCTGTTCAAACTGCAACATCAGCAGCTCCTTCTGCTGCTCAAAAGTCAGCCCCGACATGGGTGCACACAGATGTTGCCACAGCTGCCATATGACCTGGCTCTTTGGGCCATGACACGATTGCACTGTTTAAATATTCTTTATTTAACATAAGACAACAAAAAATCCACAAACATTCCAGATGAGAACGTCGGTACTATCAGTAGTGTAGGATGTGCATGAGGGTAGAGTGTAAGAGACGGGTGTTGTCATGGGCATCGAACTAAAAGGAAACCGGAGTAACCACGGTGGCTGCCCTACCACACCACAGACGTCTGCTGGGGGGGAGAGGGGGGAGGGGGGGCACAACAGGTGTGACAGCAGGCAGCCACCAGACTCCGACCAGGTAACCGGGGAAAACCTGCTCATCCTGTTAGATGTTTATCCATCTCTTATTTTATGAGTTTAATTTTCTTTTGTGTGTCCAAGTCAGCCGAATTCTGGTAGTCTCTATCCAATTCTCTCGGTTTTTCTATATTTTTCATATACGTTTCTTATTTCTTTCTTTTTTTTTGCGTAGGTCGATTCCGAAATTTATCTGACTCTCATAACTGCCGTCAAGGCGTCCCAAACCATCGTTGGCTCCACCATCTTATTGTCAGTTTTTCCGTAACATAGTTTTGTATTCCCAATTTCACCACCACATAGAACCACCATCACATAGAACCACCATCACATAGAACCACACCAGATAGAACCACCATCAGATAGAACCACCATCAGATAGAACCACCATCAGATAGAACCACCATCAGGTAGAACCACCATCCGCTAGAACCACCATCACATAGAACCACCATCACATAGAACCACCACCACATAGAACCACCACCAGATAGAACCACCATCAGATAGAACCACCATCACATAGAACCACCATCACATAGAACCACCATCATATAGAACCACCATCCACAGAAGCCTGTGGGGAGGGAGAGCACAGAGACTTTAGGAGAGGGTAATGTTGGTTTACGAGTACAGTAATATGATTAATATCTAAAATGATGATGATGATGATGATGGCAGCAGCAGGCGTCAGCAGGGCCACGGCAGGTGTCAGGACCAGGGTCCAGAAGGAACCACGATCTACGGAGACCTGATAGGGGAGAAAGCACAAAAAAAACTCCCTGGAAGAAGCTGAATTAGTCATGTGCATTAATACAACGTGGATTATGGTAGAAGGAGAGCGTGAGAGAGGAGCTCGGTGTGTCCTAAGAAGTCCCCCGGCAGTCTAAGCCTATAGCAGCTTAACTAAGGGCTGGTCCGTCTAACCTGAGCCAGCCCTAAACTACAGCGTCACATTTTAAATGACTTCGATAGGAGACACTTAGACACATTTTTATTTTATACCTAAGTGGGGTATTAAGTGAAAAGACGTGTAAAAACAACATTTTATTAGGGGTTTAATTTACTATTTCAAGTAGCCACTGAATTAATATTTACTTTAATAGTCAACTAAGTCAATTACAAAAAATGAATAAAAATTAAAGTGAGGTGCAATCGTAGCAATATATGTCATACCTTTTTAACTATGTTTTTAAATTTCATTTCTAGCTGCTTCCAGGTCCTTTTGTCCCTGTTGGATTGCACCTAAATGAATAGATTTCATTCCTACTTATATCCATAACTACAGGCTGCCACGATCTTACGGTTAAATGTCATGTCAATGGAACAGTTCATTCAAACTTACGCGTTGACTCGGGCAGCGATTCTTCCCCACGCAGTCTCTCTCTCCTCCGCTGCTGCAGCTGTGAAATACGTGCTCACGCTCACCTGCAGAAGGACCTCCAACTCCATCGCAGGGAAATAGCTCTTTTATTTACTGTTGTCGTGGTGACTCGTGGTATCGGGGCTCCATTGATGATGTCTTTTTATAATCGTCATGCACGCGCTCAACTCAAGGTGAACATACTCAGTCGATTGAACTAACGCAGATCATCCCGTCTCAGAGTGAGTCAACTAGTTCAAGGACAGACTCAGAGCTTGTTAAACCTTTCTGGAATACCCCCCAGTGCTAAAAACACACTTCTAAAACAAACAGTACCTGAAACAATACCTTTTTTACTTTATGGACAATATATGAACTGTTAACAGTTTACAGTATATGCACAGTCTCTAAGAGCCAGAAGTGCTTGCATTACTTCATTGGAATTTGGGAAGTATTAATCATTTAATCTATGGTCATTGGAACTAAAGATATGTGAGATATGGAAACATTCATGTTGGACTGACGCTCCTTGTGTGTCTCCATGTATGACGTCATGATTGCAGCAGGTAACACAGAAGAGCTGCACGAGGCACGAGAGCACATCGTTTATCTGTCACGTTGACGCTTTGCTGCGTAAAATAAAGACAAAACGGAAAGAATCAAACGATCTCCGGTCATTCGCGTAAGAAAATGCAAGGAAGCCGCTTTACAACTTGGACCCGCCGCCAGCAGCAGAGCCGCTAGCCAGAGAGAGACGTGCTGCTCGCCGTGTAGCTTCGCCAGTCGCCCTCTGATGGTTTGTTGTCTTTCAAAATGAAGAAACTCCGGACGGACAGAAGACATCTCGGATCGAAAAGTTAGTCAAAAGAATTTAATAAAAAAAAGTCACCACCTCAGCTGAGGATTCTCAGACCACAGCGAGTCCTTTGACTACGACGTAGTTAACCGTCTACCGGCTCCACCCACGAATCCCCAACAAGGGGACACACGTACATGTAAAGACAATCATGGTGCACTAACTATGCTGTTGGTCTAACAGAGTTCTGTGGTGATTGGGTTAGAGTCGGTGCGGGCGGCAGCGTCCACGCCTCTGAGCACATGACGTCAGGCGCGTCCAAGGTAGCTGGGTATTTGGAGTGTTCCATAGAGAAAGTGGTGCAATGAGGCTGGTGCACCTCTGCAGTCCGTGAGTGGGCTCTACATTGTGAGTAATGGTGGGTTCTTCCAGGGGCATAAGTGTGAGTACGCTGAGCCTGTACTTCCCCTCTGGCTATCCCTAGTTGTGATGATGAGGCGGTGGTCCTTGTCCCCGCGCTGCTGTAGCTGGCTGGTGGACTGCGTGGTGATGGATTGTAAAGCTCCAGACAGTCACCTCATGTGATGAATGTCACCACAATTCCAGCATGCGTACAAACTGTGGGTATAGCCGGGGCGTTGTGGGGGAGGTCTGTTGATTCAGCATCCAGTCATCGTCCTGATAACGTCTTGGGCCTCCAGGGCGGCCATATCTGGAGTTCTGTCCTCCCTTCTGTCTACAACTCAAGGGTCCCCGCTCCACCTCAACATTCCTTCAGGTCCTTCCTGACTGGATCCCTCCTTCAGACACGACGACGTCTCTTCCTCAGATGGTACGCTGCTCCCGAGCCCCTGCTGAGATGTCAACACGTTGGACCGTTGTCCCACAGCACTCATTTCAAACCACATGGAAGAACAGCTCGTCCTGCAGCCACTGAACTGAACTCCTCCAGACACCAGAGAGATGCTGAAGTTATGGGATCACGGGTGGTTGAACATACCTGTATGTAGTGAATGTGTGTGCTGTTATTACTTGTGTTAGTGAGACAGAAGTGGGTCAGATGTCGTGGTGTGCACTCGGGCTGGGCGGCATACGGGTTGAACAGCTGCACACTCCGTCATGCAGCGTGCAGATAGATATCTTGTTCTCTGCTCACCGACGGGGCGCAGCAGTCTGAGCTACTTGCTACTACTTAGTCCGTCTTCACTGACATTTGCATTTAATGAATTAACTTTGAGGCGTCCGAACAACATCCAGCAGGCTTCAACCTCATGAAGCTTGTAAAAGTCGGACTCTGACACTTGAGCAAAGATCTTCTTCCACAACGGGTTCCTCAGGTTGAGGGTTAACGTATGAGTTCAATTAGCGCACTAATGCAAAATACGGTTCCCTGTTTCCCAGATTACAGGGGGGAGGTTCTCTGTGATGGAGCAGATTTAATGTGGTGCAGCCTATTTGAGACAAACATTTGCATATGGAGCCAACGTACCTGTTGGTTCTATTGATTTCTCCCTGAAATACAAAAGCAAGAAAGGTATCAGCTTAAACAATAAGGCTGTGAAGGCAACGATGGAACAAAGTCATGTCAGCCAATCAGATGAGGGTTGCAAAGACAAGTACTAACTTCTGATCCAGAGGACAACCAGTCTTCCTATTGGTACCATTACAAGTACAGGTATTAACCAGTAGAGGTCTCTTGAAGCAGCTCCACAAACAGTGTCACTGGTCAGGGTTCCTCCTTTGACCTCCACTTGGTTTTCTGAACAACTGTCAAAAAAGAGAAATGAAGAAGAGCTTTAGTGCTTTTGGTGTTAAAAACGGAACATTACCAGGAACGCTTGTAGATGTATTGAAAGTGACCAAATGAAACGGGCCTGGGGGGTTGGTGACGTCTTGAATCTCCCGATGGGGGGTTGGTCCATCTCAGGGGAAACTTGACTACTGGTCAACGTAATAAACGTATAAGCATAGTGGGATCACTATGCTTATACGTTTATTACAACACACTTTTTACAGACATTCTTTAACAAACAAGGTCTTACGTGGTCCAAAGTGAACAATTCACACCCTCCAGTGAAAAACTGCCTGCGGGACAAGGTTCACACGTTGTGTCAGATCTTCTGGTCCCTTGGAGAAACAGACAAAGCTGAGATGAACGACACAGGAACCCAACGACCAGCATCATGAATCAGATCCATGTGTTCATCAAGGGAGTGCTCATGCACACTCGTACCCGAGACCTGATGACGTTCACGCTACCCGAGAGGCTCAATAAATCCTGCTGTAAGTGACCTGAGGAGGCCAGTTGGAGTATAGAGATCATGTTTACTGCAGCTGTACTTAGAAGAACCGTTGCTTATCCTCGTATACGTCGTGGTGTCTGCATGCTGAATCTAGTGAAAGAGTTCAGGCCTCAGAGACCAGACTGGAGGAGACCTAGAAGGTGTGCTGGACATGGACATGAGGCACAGACGTACCTGAGCTGTGGCCAAAGAGATCAATAACCAGCTACACCACCGCGAGCCGTGGACGTAGTCACTGTGTGACTGGAGTTTTTCTCACCAGGCTCTTTGACCCTGTGACCAGGTTCACAGTCTAAATGTCTGCGTGCCGAACGGCATTCTTTATCTTCTATCGGGTCCGTGCAGAAGTGACCAGCGATGACGTCACAGACGGTGTCACTTGTTGATGTGCAGTTCTGTTTGGCAAAGAGACCACGGCCTGAAAACCAACACAGACTCATTATATTATAGTTAAACAAAGATGCTGGACAGCGGATTGCGACAAATGAACTGAATGATATGAGACGGACAGAAGAGCAGAGAGGTCGATGGAAAACTACCTTACAGCTTAAAGAGAAAGAGCTGTATTATATGAAGTCTGTCACAAAATAAAAACTGAATGTAGACGCAGGGAATTGACATTGTGAAATGTGACAGACAGGTAAGTAAATGTACTAAGAAAAGATAAAGCAAGTCACTTTGTAATTACATCACTCATTTTTCCACTTAAAGACAACGTTTGTGGACATTGATACATTTACTGTATTGTTAGTTCATAATGTCAATAAGCTGTATCACTGATAATAAACTGTACAGATATACAATGTGCTGCATTCAAGGCTCCATATAAAACACTTACCTGCTACAACACAATGACTACGGTCCTCTTTACAGCCAACGTGGCATCAACCTCACAGCACAGCATCAGATTCATTGGGAATCAAGTTGCATCCATTACCAGGGTGGCAAATAGTTGCTTTGTGTCTTTTATTCGGTTTAATTTTGTCCAGTATAATAACAGGAGGGTGTCCTGAGAGTGAAAGGTGACTCAGCTGATTGTGGACGTACCTTGGTCACAGGAGCTGCAAGTGAAACCTTTTCTCCGCCCAGTCGGTCGGTCCATATACGTCCCGTCCACACAGGGGACGCACCGCGTGTCTGACTGAGGGGTGCAGTCTCTTTTAACCACTGAACCTGTTCAAGACAAAAGCACCTTCAGATCATCAACGATGGGAAACAATCACAACAGCAGATAAGGTGCCTAACGTAACCCCATTGGATCAGAGCTTCAATAGAATCATTTAACTACACGCTGCTTCAGGCGGACCAGCAGCCGGTCTGATGACCTGTTGTGTCGGCTCGGTGCGTCTCTCGGTCACACACTAACTAACTTGAGCGGCTGTTTAATAACGTGTGTTCAGTGATGACGAGCGGAGCATCTCAACGCTGATTGGCTTTCGTTGGAATATTTCAACTTTGGGCGAAAGAGCGATTTATTCGTGTCGCTCGTTTCGCTTTTTCGCGCCGCGTCTTTTGCGTCATTCGCGCCGTTTGAAATTCGCCCCATTCGCGTCCAGACGCGTCAGTGCATTGACTTTACATGGACTCTACTCACGCAAATAATTCGCTTCGCTTTTGTGACCTTAATCTTAATCTTAATGTCTTTTATTCGGTTTAATTTTGTCCAGTATAATAACAGGAGGGTGTCCTGAGAGTGAAAGGTGACTCAGCTGATTGTGGACGTACCTTGGTCACAGGAGCTGCAGGGGAAGCACTTATTCAGCCCATTGGGTCGGTCCATATACGTCCCGTCCACACAGGGGACGCACCGTATGCCTGACTGAGAAGTGCAGTCTCTTTTAACCACTGAACCTGTTCAAGACAAAAGCACCTTCAGATCATCAACGATGGGAAACAATCAGAACAGCAGCAGATAAGGTGCCTAACGTAACGCCATTGGATCAGAGTTCAGCTTCAATAGAATCATTTAACTACATGCTGACAGAGTCTACAAAGGGGAACGTTAACACTTATAATTAACACCTAATCTGGTTTTATAAAAATGGATACTAAAAGCAAATATTTGCTGAAAATTGCTGAAATTACAGATATTAGAAAAGCTGAAATTAATTTGAAATTGCTGAAAATACAGAAATGGGAGAAGCTGAAAGGATTTAATAGATTCTGAAAAAGCAGAAATGAAAACAGCTGAAATGAATGTGAAATATTGCAAAAAAATACAGAAATCAATATTAAAATATTGCTGTTAATACAGGCATAAGAAAAGCTAAAATTATTTGAGAGAACTGCTGAAAATACAGAAATGAGAAGCTGAATTTCAATAGATTTTCTAAAAAATAGTTGCAGGAGCTTGAATGAATAAAAAAAATACAGAAATGACAAAAGCTGAGATGAATAAAGAGGTTTTCAATTGTTTGTAGTAATATTAGTAGAAGTATTAGTTATAGTTGTAATTGTGGTATTAATAGTACTAGCAGTAGAAGTAGTAATAGTACTAGCAGTAGTAATAGGTTAAGTATCAGCTGGAACACTAATATTAGTCATAGTATTTGTAGTAACATTAGTAGTAATTGTAGTATTAATACCAGTAGAAATACTAGTAGTACTTTTCCCATATTTTAATATTGGAACAGTTTTAATAGCTGAAAGTGTGAAGGAGATGAAAGGTGCCACGGAAGAAATAGAATAAGTTGAATAAAGATTGGAAGAACAATACTTCCATCCATCCATCCATCCATTGTCAAACCGCTTATCCTGCACACAGGGGGGGGGACTGGAGTCCATCCCAGCCAACTTCGGGTGATAGAAGAACAATACTTGAAATGCTTAATGCATTCCAACAACAACAATAAGTTGAAATAAAGAATAGAAGAACAATACTTGGAATGCTTAATGCATTCCAACAATAACAAGTTGAAATAAAGAATAGAAGAACAATACTTGAAATGCTTAATGCATTCCAACAATAAGTTGAAATAAAGAATAGAAGAACAATACTTGAAATGCTTAAGGCATTCCAACAATAACAATAAGTTGAAATAAAGAATAGAAGACCATACTTGAAATGCTTAATGCATTCCAACAATAAGTTGAAATAAAGAATAGATCAATACTTGAAATGCTTAATGCATTCCAACAATAACAATAAGTTGAAATAAAGAATAGAAGAACAATACTTGGAATTCTTAATGCATTCCAACAATAACAATAAGTTGAAATAAAGAATAGGAGAACAATACTTGAAATGCTTAATGCATTCCAACAATAATACCTCCTAGTACTACCACCCAGAGGATACTTCTCTCCACCACGTTTGCAAATTGGAGGCTGAGCACCTTTTCTTCTGGTTTTGGTAGTTTTTAATTTGCAACTCACACCACACGATACTAAAAACCTAAAAAGTGAATGTGCATGTAGTGTACAGATCAGAACATCTGGGAGCTTCATCCAGCTGTGAGTCCATATGACTATAAAGGGCCTTTGGTGTCTCCATCAGAATGAGTCATTGTGAAAACAGAGCAGAATAATGAAACTTTTACACACATCAGTACAATGATGAGTATCTTGAAACGTGTTCATTGTATACCAGTGTGTTTCATTGGATGTCCCACACGCTGCTCTGATAACTAGTAGGGGTGGGAATCTCTTGGCACCTCACGATTCGATTCCGATTCAGAGGTCAACGATTCGATCCTAAACCGATTATCGATTCTAAACTGATAAAACAATTATCAATGCATCTCGATTTTATAAATTTTCTCAAATCTGAGTTTTTTATAAGAGAAAAAAAAAATACTTGTCACATATGATTTTCTATCAACAATGCAAAAACCAGTGCAGCTTGCATTTCAACAAAATATGGAAGTAGCCGATGTAAAAAAATTATTCAGATTCATTTTTCTTTTAAATTATTAAAGAAAAAGCTGCTCTTAGTCAATGATAAGAAGAGCATATCCCTGAGACAGAAAATAACTTATGCTACACAATAATACGCTACTTTATGGCGTTTGCATTTCAACACATTGTTTACATTGTTACATTGTTTACATTGTGAAAAGTAAACAGAAATAACATAACAGTGCTAAATTGAATCATGGCAGTGTAGCATGAAAGTCGAACATCGTAAACGTGCTTCACTTCCAGTTAATAACTGGTGGATTCTTATAGAATATGCAAGTTCTTGTGTAAGAACAGGAGCTGGTCGACATGCTGTGATTTTGCCCTCTGAGTTGTGTGGCAGTTGTACCAGTGCCCGTTCAATCGTCACCTGGCTGCCATCAGGAACAGGTGCCTATTTTCCTCCAAACTCTGAGTCGTCTCGGGAAATGTGGGTCTGCAGATTTGTCGTATTCCCGAAGTATTTTATTTTACTTCTACAGACCTTACAAATGGTGTAAGTCTTGTCCATCATGCCGTCAATCTCGTAAAATCCGAAATGCTGCCATACGGCAGCTTTTAAAGAAGCCGGTGCAGGTCAGATACGTCTCTCCGTTGCGGCCATTTTGGTGCCGCTTCAACTTTGTTTATGAACGTTCGCGAATGTGCGTTCGGAATGTGCACATGCGAGCATAGCGGGCGAACAAAATGTTGCGGTAGGCGAACTAATTTCATTTTTTTAAATTCAGATTATTGACTTTTCTGAATCGATTACATGATACATGTCAGTTTACTTGATTTGTGCTGTTATTTTTGTGAACGAGTGAGTGAGACTGTGTTAAGTGTGTATGTGTGTGTGTAAGATGTTCACACTTGCACTTTTCATATTTCTAAATTTTTGAGACTCAAGTATTTGACATTTATGAAATTAAATAAATATTGACATGACAATCAATCTGAAACCCTCACAGATTTTTTTCTGTTAACAGTGAAAAAATGTGGATGTGGTGCATCCCTAAGTGCGTGTAATAAGTGGTCAAATAACACAAAATCCCCCAAGAGGAACGTAGCTGTAGACATTAAAGCCACATCCATGTTTGGATCAAGAAATCACACACACACACACACACACACACACACACACACACACACACACACACACACAGAGACGGTGTGTCCGGTTTACCTTCGTGGCACATCGGACAGCACTGGCCGTCCGGTAGTTCGTACTCCCTGGACAGACAACACGTCCCTGGAGTGACGAGGACGGAGACACAGAGGACCGCACCTAAACAACAGCGGCGTTAGTTAAAGTCACGATAACTTCACCTCAGAACCTCTTTGTGCTGCGAGACACTTACAGAAGAGCGACCGACGCATTCTACAAACACCCGTTTCTACTTTTAAGTTCCGCGAACATGTCGCCATTTTTCCCTCCTCCTCCTCTCGCCTCCATAATGGCGGCTGGTTCTTCTGGATTGTTGGAATATTAGAACGCTTGATGTATAAACATATATTTAAAAGCTCTTCTGCTGTTCAAACAACACTTATCTTTAACCGGAGTGAGGCGGACAAAAAGCTACATCTTCAATTTAGAACGACGGGATATCGAAACCAAAATCCCGTGTTTGTCTTTCCTGACTTTCAAACAGGAAACGCCCCCCCGTCAGCCCGGCAGTGAGGGGCCCCTTGAGGGGGGATCCCGATAACGGTGTCATTGCACTCTACTGCATCTACTATCAAAGGGGCGCTCACACAGTTTGTCGTTGCATTTGACTCTTAACCAGTCGTCGTCTTGGGGCCCCTGTCCAGCTCGGGGCCCCAAGCAATTGCTTGGTTTGCCCTCCTGTCGCGACGGGCCTGTCTGATTGGGTTAGAGTCGGTGCGGTCGGCAGCGTCGATGACGGATTTCGGTTGATTACATTGAATACAATCATAGCTGTACATTGTACGTTATATGTATCTTATATTTCTATGTTCATGTGGTTCATTTAACAAAATTCCATGAGTTTTCCAGGTTTTTCATGACTGTATGAACCCACCTCTCCTCATCTCAGTGAAGAGGAGGGAGAGCAGCCGGAGACTCTAGTGACTTCCAGGTACACTTGGCTGGTCCCGGTCCTGGTCCCCCTCAGAGCCCAGCCTATGGTCAGCATTCAGTCACTCCCTGAGCACCTCTGCACCAGCCTGTTGAACCACACGCTGTCGCGGGTTCCCCAGGAGCCTACTGGCCATGGCCTTCAGGCCAAGGCTCCCACTGGAACCAGCACCAGCGGCAGAAACGTATCAACTAGGAGGGCAGCGAGGCTCTGGTTCCCGGTTCCCACTCGATCGCACCAGCTCTGCAGTCCGTGAGTGGGCTCTACATTGTGAGTAATGGTGGGTTCTTCCTGAGCACATGACGGATTTCGGTTGATTACATTGAATACAATCATAGCTGTACATTGTACATTATATGTATCTTATATTTCTATGTTCATGTGGTTCATTTAACAAAATACCATGACTTTTCCAGGTTTTTCATGACTGTATGAACCCAGCCTATAAATCAAGCAGGCGGAATACAAATGTTTCATTCACCCTCTTGATCGTTCCTGGGTAAGGTGCCAGTTCACCTTCATCCTCTCCTCATCTCAGTGAAGAGGAGGGAGAGCAGCCGGCGACTCTAGTGACTTCCAGGTACACTTGGCTGGTCCCGGTCCTGGTCCCCCTCAGAGCCCAGCCTATGGTCAGCATTCAGTCACTCCCTGAGCACCTCTGCACCAGCCTGTTGAACCACACGCTGTCGCAGGTCCCCCAGGAGCCTACTGGCCATGGCCTTCAGGCCAAGGCTCCCACTGGAACCAGCACCAGCGGCAGAAACGTGGCTACTAAGAGGGCAGCGAGGCTCTGGTTTCCGGGTTCCCACTCTATCGCACCAGCTCTGCAGTCCGTGAGTGGGCTCTACATTGTAAGTAATGGTGGGTTCTTCCAGGGGCATAAGTGTGAGTACGCTGAGCCTGTACTTCCCCTCTGGCTATCCCTAGTTGTGATGATGAGGCGGTGGTCCTTGTCCCCGCGCTGCTGTAGCTGGCTGGTGGACTGCGTGGTGATGGATTGTAAAGCTCCAGACAGTCACATCATGTGATGAATGTCACCACAATTCCAGCATGCGTACAAACTGTGGGTATAGCCGGGGCGTTGTGGGGGAGGTCTGTTGATTCAGCATCCAGTCATCGTCCTGATAACGTCTTGGGCCTCCACGGCGGCCATATCTGGAGTTCTGTCCGCCCTTCTGTCTACAACTCAAGGGTCCCCGCTCCACCTCAACATGGCGGTCCTTCCCGAATGGGCTACAGCCGATGCGGCAACGGCAACAGCTCTTCCTCAGATGGTACGCTGCTCCCGGGCCCCTGCTGAGATGTCAACACGTTGGACCGTTGTCCCACAGCACTCATTTCAAACCACATGGAAGAACAGCTCGTCCTGCAGCCACTGAACTGAACTCCTCCAGACACCAGAGAGATGCTGAAGTTATGGGATCACGGGTGGTTGAACATACCTGTATGTAGTGAATGTGTGTGCTGTTATTACTTGTATTAGTGAGACAGGAGTGGGTCAGATGTCGTGGTGTGCACTCGGGCTGGGCGGCATACGGGTTGAACAGCTGCACACTCCGTCATGCAGCGTGCAGATAGATATCTTGTTCTCTGCTCACCGACGGGGCGCAGCAGTCTGAGCTACTTGCTACTACTTAGTCCGTCTTCACTGACATTTGCATTTAATGAATTAACTTTGAGGCGTCCCAACAACATCCAGCAGGCTTCAACCTCATGAAGCTTGTAAAAGTCGGACTCTGACACTTGAGCAAAGATCTTCTTCCAAAACGGGTTCCTCAGGTTGAGGGTTAACGTACGAGTTCAATTAGCGCACTAATGCAAAATACGGTTCCCTGTTTCCCAGATTACAGGGGGGAGGTTCTCTGTAATGGAGCAGATTTAATGTGGTGCAGCCTATTTGAGACAAACATTTGCATATGGAGCAAACGTACCTGTTGGTTCTCTTGATTTCTCCCTGAAATACAAAAGCAAGAAAGGTATCAGCTTAAACAATAAGGCTGTGAAGGCAATGATGGAACAAAGTCATGTCAGCCAATCAGATGAGGGTTGCAAAGACAAGTACTAACTTTTGATCCAGAGGCCAACCAGTGTTCCTATTAGTACCATTACAAGTACAACTACAGCTACAGCTATTAACCAGTAAAGGCCTCCTGAAGCAGCTCCACAAACAGTGTCACTGGTCAGGTTTCCTCCTTTGACCTCCACTTGGTTTTCTGAGCAACTGTCAAAAAAGAGAAATGAAGAAGAGCTTTAGTGCTTTTGGTGTTAAAAACGGAACATTACCAGGAACGCTTGTAGATGTATTGAAAGCGACCAAATGAAACGGGCCTGGGGGGTTGGTGACGTCTTGGATCTCCCGATGGGGGGTTGGTCCATCTCAGGGGAAACTTGACTACTGGTCAACGTAATAAACGTATAAGCATAGTGGGATCACTATGCTTATACGTTTATTACAACACACTTTTTACAGACATTCGTTAACAAACAAGGTCTTACGTGGTCCAAAGTGAACAATTCACACCCTCCGGTGAAAAACTGCCTGCGGGACAAGGTTCACACGTTGTGTCAGTTCTTCTGGTCCCTTGGAGAAACAGACAAAGCTGAGATGAACGACACAGGAACCCAACGACCAGCATCATGAATCAGATCCATGTGTTCATCAAGGGAGTGCTCATGCACACTCGTACCCGAGACCTGATGACGTTCACGCTACCCGAGAGGCTCAATAAATCCTGCTGTAAGTGACCTGAGGAGGCCAGTTGGAGTATAGAGATCATGTTTACTGCAGCTGTACTTAGAAGAACCGTTGCTTATCCTCGTATACGTCGTGGTGTCTGCATGCTGAATCTAGTGAAAGAGTTCAGGCCTCAGAGACCAGACTGGAGGAGACCTAGAAGGTGTGCTGGACATGGACATGAGTCACAGACGTGCCTGAGCTGTGGCCAAAGAGATCAATAACCAGCTGCACCACCACGAGCCGTGGACGTAGTCACTGTGTGACTGGAGTTTTTCTCACCACGCTCTTTGACCCTGTGACCAGGTTTACAGTCTGAATGTCTGCTTGCCGAACGACATTCTTTATCTTCTATCAGGTCCGTGCAGAAGTGACCAGCGATGACGTCACAGACGGTGTCACTTGTTGATGTGCAGTTCTGTTTGGCAAAGAGACCACGGCCTGAAAACCAACACAGACTCATTATATTATAGTTAAACAAAGATGCTGGACAGCGGATTGCAACAAATGAACTGAATGATATGAGACGGACAGAAGAGCAGAGAGGTCGATGGAAAACTACCTTACAGCTTAAAGAGAAAGAGCTGTATTATATGAAGTCTGTCACAAAATAAAAACTGAATGTAAACGCAGGGAATTGACATTGTGAAACGTGACAGACAGGTAAGTAAATGTACTAAGAAAAGATAAAGCAAGTCACTTTGTAATTACATCACTCATTTTTCCACTTAAAGACAACGTTTGTGGACATTGATACATTTACTGTATTGTTAGTTCATAATGTCAATAAGCTGTATCACTGATGATAAACTGTACAGATACACAATGTGCTGCATTCAAGGCTCCATATAAAACACTTACCTGCTACAACACAATGACTACGGTCCTCTTTACAGCCAACGTGGCATCAACCTCACAGCACATCATCAGATTCATTGGGAATCAAGTTGCATCCATTACCAGGGTTGCAAATAGTTGCTTTGTGTCTTTTATTTGGTTTAATTTTGTCCAGTGTAATGACAGAAGGGTGTCCTGAGAGTGAAAGGTGACTCAGCTGATTATGGACGTACCTTGGTCACAGGAGCTGCAGGGGAAGCACTTAGTCAGCCCATTGGGTCGGTTCATATACGTCCCGTCCACACAGGGGACGCACCGCGTGCCTGACTGAGGAGTGCAGTCTCTTTTAACCACTGAACCTGTTCAAGACAAAAGCACCTTCAGATCATCAACGATGGGAAACAATCAGAACAGCAGATAAAGTGCTGCACCTGACAGTGAGTCAGTGTTTTTATAATTATCATATATAATTATATATATTATATATATATAATTATTTTCTCTCCACCACGTTTGCAAAGTGGAGGCTGAGCACCGTATTCTGGTTTTGCTAGTTTTTAATCTGCAACTCACGATGCTAAAAACCTCACACACCGTTACTCCATTTAATCTAAGTGAGTGTGCATGTAGTGTACAGATCAGAACATCTGGGAGCTTCATCCAGCTGTGAGTCCATATGACTATAAAGGGCCTTTGGTGTCTCCATCAGAATGAGTCATTGTGAAGACAGAGCAGAATAATGAAACTTTTACACACATCAGTACAATGATGAGTATCTTGAGTTCATTGTATACCAGTGTGTTTCATTGGATGTCCCACACGCTGCTGCTGTAATAAGTGGTCAAATGACACAAAATCCCCCAACAGGAACGTGGCTTTAATGTCAAGTTATTTGATAAAATGTCCAGGAATATTCTATTTTCATAATAATATTTTTGCATGTCCACCTGTCACTGTGGGGTTATTGCCCTTTTAAGAAACATCACGGCCATCAGTGTAGGCTGGAAACAGTAGCTGTTGGCAGAGTTAGTATATAAACTCATATTTTGTAACTTTCATCATATTATGTGTGGAGCTGGATCTTGTCAAGCTTAACATGTTCACCCCCAGTGAGCACATGACGTAATTTCAACGTTGAAATCTGGTTGAAATCGGGTTGAAATGAGGTCTGAACGTCTAAGACCTCATTTCAACGTCTTTTCAACCGGCTAAAAATGGGATAAAACATCAACGTGCCAGAAAACGTCAATTTGTTGATAAATGTGTCATGTTGTAACGTAAGGTTGAAAGATAGACGATATTAACCTTAATATTTTCATAATAATTAATGAACTGGTCGGCGAAATTTACTCTACTGGTTTTTGAACCTACTGGTTTGTCTACTCGTGCGTGTTTGTTTTCCCTACAGCGGCAGATGTTGTCTGCCTCAGTCACCTGATTCGTCACACATTCGCAAACATATTGCTGAAAATGTTCAAAAGTCATCACATGTCCATTGCAGCGATTACGATCGAACACTACGTCACTGCCACGTATGAAGAAATACATTGAAGAAAATATATTTATTAAAAGATCGCCGCAACCTGGATTCGATCCCCCGTCTACAAGACGGACCGCGCTACGCCGTCGGCCACTCGGCTTCATTGATGGTCTCTGCTGTTTTCTGATCTTGTCACTCACATATGAACATCGACCCAG